TCAGTAGGGCTTGCTACCTTTCAACTCCTCTGACATCATGCAGTCTCCGACTCAATAGCAACTGAGCCCTCCCATTCCCCATGCCACGCCAGTTGAAACAAGGTGCCCCGCGGCGTGCTCCGCGAGCCCTTGAAAGCGGCGGCTGACCTGACCAATGTTTTGTTTGTGCTTTGAACTGTCAAAGAAGTCTCTTCGTCTCGGGGTTGCAAGACCACCACGTACCCTGGCCGTGGTCTCCTTTTACTCAATAGGCCCGCAAGCTGAAATCCTTTCGGCTCTCGATTGCGCAAAGGACCCTCTACCAAATCCTTCATCTCCGCAAGCCGCCGCCCCGCAGGACTCCCAAGCTAGCGCCTGACGCAACCGCATTGTGTCATCCAAGCCATCGTTGCCCCCAACCAACAGCCTTGGAAGGCCCGCGGTGACGGGCCCGAACTTGCACTTCTTCAACTTCAACCCAACTCGCAACGAAATCCCAAGGCGAGACCTGTACGATCCTGCCGCTTAACGTTCACGCTGCATTTTTGTGCCAAACCCCGCCAGTCACAACCGCCGCATGAAGCCTGGGGAACCCTTTTAATGCCTTTTTTTACCCGCACCCCGTATAGAAAACCCCAGGAAAACCCTACAAAACCCCATAAACCCTGCTAAAAAAAGCCCCCCTTGCTTTTGCACGCCCTGAGAGAATTCCAGCCCAGGCTCAGCGCTGCCAGGTCGGTACCCTCTGGGAGCTTCCTCAGGGCTTTTGGGCGGATCATTGAAGCCTAGAAACCCTTTTCCCTAAACCCTAGACAAGTAGTAATTAGTGTTTAGGGTTCAGGGTTTTTGGGGTGTTCGAAGCTCCTGGGCCTCAATGCTTTTTGGGGGGAAGGGCTTTGGGGATGGAGTGGGTCTAAGAGGTTCGGGGGAACGATGTAAAATGTGTAGGGCGTGGGGTTAGGATCGCCTGAGGATTCATCTGCTTGGGGAGGGCTTCAAAAGTCCCCCCTGAGTCCTGAAAGGGCTGGACGCCCTAGCAACCCCTGCAGACCAGAGCCTTCCATTGCCAGGGGGCTTTTAAACACACATGATGCCACGATACAACCAACTTTCGGGATGCTGCTGATGATGAAAACGGAACAGCCCGCTGCGATGCTAGGATTGGGTGCCGACCCTTGTCGGTCCTTCTTGGACAGAACACGTTTGCAGCTCAGCTCGTCCAAACATGTCGCTACCGTGGGGCGCACTACACGCTCCCACATGCTTTATCACTTTGCTGTTCTAGTTCTTCTGCCGTGCATGAAAAACATGGACCTCCAACAAACATCTTACGTGCTGACTGCAGGAGAAATAAAAGCAACCACAAACACCCGAAGACTCAATACCTCCTGTCGGCCATTGCCAACAGTGCAACCGCGCCGCGACCACATTCCGACCTCCGGTCGTTGCTCAATGAGTCGGGATCGATTCCGAAGCTCTGGGGCTAGGGGGCCCACCCGGGCCCTGGGCTTCTTTGTCTTTCGTGGCACTCTAGCGCCTGGCCTGCCGCGCACGTCACAGCGTGCTATGGCACGAAGTGTACAAAAGAGCTGGCGTGCTGTGTGGAATTCTATGGACCTACTTCATGTATGTACTTCTGGGACATCAGCATCAGGAAGGAGAAACCCGAGAATCGACGTGAAAGCCTGAGGGCGTAGTTACTGGGCTATCTTGGCCGTAAAGCGACAAGCTTGGTAAGGACTGTGGTTTGGGGCCAGGGCTGCGGTGGAGCGAGCAACATGCTCTGCATATACTTCAGGATTGCTCGACTTTCACACTCCCACGAAGCATGCAAGGCGCCACGCAATCCGAGGATTCTTCCTTCTCGCATGGAAGGGATCAATGCCCACAAGCGAGATTCCTTTCGTGGCACCTGGTGGCCTACGGTGCTGGTGTTCCAAGGCTCTCCCTTAACAATAGGAACCCCCACGGTTTTAGCATGGGGGAAGGAAACAGTACAGCTGCTTGAGTGTTGATAACACTAAAGTCGTTGCCAGGCGTTTAAAACTCGGCTCGCCTTGCCGTCCGGTGGCCCGCGATTCTGCGATGAATTTCACGCGACGCGTTTCCAAGGCCTGCAGTACTGGACATGCCCAAATGGTACAAAAACTGGGCTCGCAGCACGCGATACAATTATATATTGCCGGCAGGAGAGACAACCTGGATTTTTTGGCTTGGAGCACCCCTATAACTCGCTTTCCATATGACTCAGCTCCGTCTGCAAGTTCGACGCAACCCGCTCCATGTAGCTCTTCGATCCGGACCTGCATGAGTCCGACCTTTTACGTAGCTTCGTGTGCACGGCTTCGACTTGTCGTTTCCGCTCCTGTTGCCTTTTTTTCTACGGCCTGGCGGACCTGTCTGAGTTCTTGAATGACTGCCTCGTGGTTTTGTTCCTGGCATGCGCCGTCAGGCTGGGGCCCAGAGCCGCCAAGAGGAGGACTCCAAGCAGGCCTCCAGTGAAGGGTTGATCTCTGCCTGCATGTCGATGTTCAGACTATACATGGGAAAAACTGCCTGGACCGCACATAGTCATAGAGTCGAGGCCATGCTCTTGGTCCGGAACAACTATTCGAGCAGCTTTGCACACGGCCTCTGACGTGAACTCTCGCATGAGCTGATCGCCAAAATGGCTCGGCAAGTTTTATGGAACGTGAACTTCCCGAGCACCCTTGGCGAGAAGCTTTCGGCTCGGTTCCTTGAAGGCCTCGAGATCCCAAGTAGCGAGCGGAAGCCTCTCACTTTGACCAGGACGCTACGAGCCTCGCGTGCTTCCAAAACTCCTTTGGGATACACTTGCGCAAGTTCCGCTCTGGCCAAGCTGTGAACTGCCTGACATCCTTGGCCTTGCGAAAGCTTCTCTTGCTGGTGGGATCTGGAGGAGGGCGGGATGCCCTTTCCCTGCACCAGCGCCTCATGTTCGTGTGCTCAAGCGCCTCGAGCCGCAACTGCTGCGGCCATGAGGCTTACGGAAGTTTACGCCTTAGGATTTCCAGGGCGCAGGGTCGCCTCGAGCTGAAGTGCAAATGTGCAACTTTTGCCGCTCCTTGCTACTTCGCTTTCGCCTTGGACTCCTTGACATCCTTCGCCGGAGAGCTGCGGCTTTTAAGGATGCGCCCATACTGTCCTTATGCCACAACCACTCGCCAGTTTTGGCCCTTCTGGAAAAGATCCTCTAGTCTGATGCATCAAAAAACAAAAAAGGCCTGACGGGAAGGAGCATGTCGGCCTCAAGTTTGCTGGGCCGACCTGGGTATGTTAGTCTTGGCGTCAGGCTGCGCATTGGAACTCGAAAGCCCGAAATCACCCCCCCAAACCTTAGAGTCGAAGGTATGTTATAAGGTTTAAGGATTCCATATGATTCCATGGATCCAACAGCCCGAATCCTGCTTTGCCCGAAATCAAATCAAGGAAGTCATCGCAGCCCAGTCCTTGGCGCTCTGGCGCGCTCGTCGCTGCTCCGCCTTCCTGGCCTTCCGCAGTGTCACTTGAAACGATTCGGCATTCTGGGTTTCGGACTCCGAGGCAGCTCGAACGAAACCACACAAACATGCGACCGTGCGGTGCTGCTTGGGTGCTTGGGCTCCGTGATGGTCATCATGGTGGAATGATGCTGATGATCATAATAGTTGCGAGGCCTACATGGCACTCCAGGCCTAGCCAAACAGCCCCCGAATTGACGGGAGCCTGCTTGCGCAGGTCGCTGATGCGCTCCACCACCAACTGCGCTTCGGCAGGGAAGGCCGCAACGCAGGCTTCTCGGGCCTGCTTGGCTGCCTGTCCGTTGAAAGACTTCCGAGGAAGCACAGAGAGCGCAGGAGACGAGTCGAGCCCACCCCGAAAGGGCTGTATCGTCCCATCTCGGGACGAGGGTGCGATTCCCTACTGCAAATTCAAAGATTTCGACTGCCGTGACTCCCCACTCTGCCGAATTTACATTCACCGGCCTCCTATGGTTTCAGGCTTCGACAGTAGTGCCACCCCTCTCGTCGGGTTTTTGGATGGCTCTTTGCAACTCCTACCCACGTCAATCCGTCAATAGGGGTCAAAGATGGGCAAAGCACAGACGAAGTTGCCACCAAACGACTACATGCACCTCTCGCTTGGCTAAAAGTGCCTCCTACTTACTTCGAAAGGACGAGCCCGCATTGCGTGGTTTAGGGGTTGATTAAGTCTCTGCATGTAGTATATGCATTGATTGCTACTTCACCCTTGTACGAGGGCCTATGTAGGTCGTGGGCTCTGTGGCGATGCCCTCTTTACGATGCGTGTTTTGCTTTTTGGTACACTCTGCTCCCTGTTCATTCATGTACACTCCGCATGCATTCGGGTTCAGTGTTGCAGCAGTTTGCCACTGATGTGACTGTAGCGACCTCAGGTCGTGTCTCGGCCTCGAATGCCGCAAGCGCTTCTGCTGTCGGCCGTCCGGCTGGAAGCGCAGACGAGAGCGCCTTCCACGTCTCCGCAGACTTAACATCTGAAGAATCAGGGATCCCTTGACCAGGGGAACCTTTCCTATGACTCAGAGCTTGAAAAGAAAACTAACAGCACTTTCTGCTCTGAAGTAGGCCCTAATGTGTTTTGCTGCGCCTCCTCACACGCCAGAAACCTCTCGCGCTGCTCCTGCGGGAGCGGACACGCCTCGCAGCTTCAAAGGGGCGCCCCGGAGCTTCAAAGAGTGAAAGCCCGAATGCGCCATGACCACGGTTTAGGGTTTAGGGTTTAGGGTTTAGGGTTTAGGGTTCCCCCAAGGAGCTCTGGGCCTGGGTATTGAAGGCAGCTTCGTAGACACACACGCTCAAAACCCAAGAAAAACAAACTGCCCGCGAGTGCCTGCCAGAGCTCCTCCGCTGCATGAAGCAACTCGTCCGGGCCGGGATCCGCCTTGGCAACGGCAGGCGGATCCTGCTACCGCATCTCATTCTTAAGCTGGTGCCAGAGGTCCCAGTGCCCGTCTCGAAAAAGCCACTACACTGCACTACACTCCGCCAATCCTGCCTGTAGCTCCTTCACCGGTGCGGGAAGCAAGCGCAGCACCGCCCCCACTGGCAGGTGGTCCTGGGCTGAGGCGAGGCAGCAAAAGGTCGAGCTCGGCTTCAAGCTATCAAGTACGTGGCTTAGCCAGCGGAAGCTGCCCATCACCTGGGAGCATGCACCACACAGGCCCTCTGAAAGAAGGCAGAGCTCCGACGGATCCGCTTCATTCGGGAGGCCATGAGCGAGCACCGCCTGGCCAGGGTGGTTCTGAAAGCCTTTTTGTGCTTTGGGATACTGGCAGGTGCTGCGTTCCACCAAGCCTCGCGGTGCTCCGGTGAGCGGAAGACTTCCCGCACCGCCTGGTCACACAGCCTCTCACACCAACAACCATCTGACCAACTGCACATCTGCACACACACACACACAAACCCTCCTTGTCCGTATAGGAACAAGGCACAAGCCGTGTGCACCGATTCGTGAACCCATCACTGCATGACAGTTCACATTCAGCAACCGTCCGCTCTTTTGTAAGTGTGTTCGCCCATCCATGCGTACACCATCCAAATCTTGTCCAGTTGAGGTTTTGCGGAAACTCGAAGCATCCCGTGCCTGGCATTGGACGCGCGCTGCATCGTACCAGACGTGGTCCAGCATGTGGCAAGAGCCGGCGGCACCACGCAATGTGAAGCTGAACCTCGCGTTCTCAGACACAACCACTTTCATGGCCAGGCACGAGAATACAACAAGTACCAATGCAAAACATGTCCACACATGCACCCATCCATCCATCCATCCATCCATCCATGCATGCTTGCATGCATGCACAACAGAAACGTACACGCAGAAACGGATGTGTGCTTGGGTAGGGGTCACAAACACAAGCAACCGCATGCACACATAAATGCATTCTTCATGCATGCAAGCATGCATGCATGCATGCATCTATGTACGTACATATATTCATACATACGTGCATGCATACACACACATATTACGCTGCACGACACTTCGCCACATTACGTTGCACGACACATTGCAGCACATACGCGAACCCCTGCGTGAACACATGCATGCATGGCTGCATGAATATTTCTATGCATGCATGCGTACATACATACCCCAAGTCAGATAAGTCAGAGGTTCATGCCTACTTGCGTGCGTACATACAACAACATACATGTGCAAATGCTCACACCAAACCCGACTCCGACCAGGCTGCCAGGGAACTCGCAAGGATCTGGCGTATAAGCAGACTGCATGGCATAAGGGTGGCCAGTCTCCGGGACTTTGCTGGGCACGTCCACCGCATACCCAAACCTGAGGAGACTTGAAGAATTGGAACCGCGAGCTCAAAAAATTCCCTGCCAGTGACTTGCGTCTGAACATCAGACGCTTCGACAAGTTGCTGTAGTGGGCTGAACTCTTACGAACGGTATCACCGCGGCAGTGCTTGTAAGTTCACTCTTCGCAACAATAAGACTCTAGCGACTCTTGCTGCAAGATATCTTCCTTTTACTTTGGAGACTCAAGTCGACGCCCGCCTAAGACCCTCGCACGCAATTCCTGTCGAGCCACCAGCCGCACCCTCTCAACTCTAAGTCTCCAAGTCGCTAGTCTGCAACCTGAACCGGCCAAGGCTCTCCTGAACTCCGGGTAGGACCTGGCCGAAGCAGAGAAAGGAGGCCACGGCCGAGGAGATCAGCGGCCTGGCCAGCGGCCATTGAAAGATCGGAGTTTCACAGGGTTTTCGTGGGCTTTCTGCGGTCGCCTTCTTCCCTTATGCCAGGTTCTACGCTCAGAAAGCCAAACTGGCTGAGGCAGTGGGACGGCGAGGGACTTCTTCGATGGGGTGCTTTCTATTGGCAGTCTATCGGTCCTGTTGCCACCACTAACTCGAACACTAGGCTCCCTCCTTTAGCCTTACCAAGGTCTGGGTTTCGCCGCTCACACTTCGACATCCCAGGAAAGACATGCTTGTAGTGGTTTGTTGATAGTGAGAACATCGAAACGTGAACAACAGGATCAACAAGTGGGTCAAGGTTTAGGATCCTTCTCAAGCAAATCTTAAGAGACGGAGCACGGTGGTGTGATTGAAGCACGACTATATTTTGTTTATCTACTTCCCCTCGCAAGCTTCCACAAACGTGGCTTTGCTGACGCATTGAAATCGCCGCAAAGGATCAGACCATGCCGTTCTGGACCCCCGTGCTTGGAGGCATCCAGAAGGGCAGAGCGCACCTGCTTCCAGGAGCTTTGGCAATGAAAGCGCAAAGGCCTGGCTGTGGCAAAACTTCCCATCCCAGATGCCTGCATCGCTACAACAAGGGAGCGCACCTGGCTTACTCGATCCATCGGCTTTCTGGGATTCCCCTCCAGGTGCGCGTTGGCCACACATATCCTCAGGATGAGGAGGCGAATCAGAAGGCTGCAAGCTTTCGAGCCTCACCTGAAATAACAGAGCACCCACACAGCCCGCAGCACAAGCTCATAGGACTTCGCAGACTCGGGTGCGCTCTGATTCTGGCTTCCATTTGCACACGGGAACATAAAAGCTCGTCAGCCTCTGGTGCGAGCTTGGACACGAGCGATCACAATATAAATCTCACGGCCAAGCATCTCAGCACCACCATGCAGATCTCGAAGGCCCACGAGAAGAACCCGGCTCCGGTGAGCCTCCCAACCTCGGTGTTGTGTGCAGCACCGGATATCATCCGCCGGGCAGTGCTACGTCTGTCTAAGCTTCGGCTTTCGTGCGTTGCACAATGACTCCAGATGACAAAGAATACCAAGTGGCTGATTTCGAACCGGGATTCGCGAAAGAACGTCGCGTTCCCCGTCTGGTGGTCGTCCTTGCGGCTCCTAGCAGGGAACTCTGCATGCAGAGGTCGGCTCCGTCCCTGCAGAGATTTCCTTCAAAACGGAGCCCCGAATATCTTTCGTATGATCATTACTAGGACCAGCACAATATAGGTATGAAAATGGAATGCAAGAGTTGCAAATCTCGCACCAGTCGTTTCTCGCTCCTTTGCTGTATAGTCCCGACGTAGCCGAGGGAAGCTAGCCTCGGCTGCAAGTCGCTTTCGTAGAGCTCGTACATCACCTTCGCAGCACATGCATGGAATGCAGGAGAAAACTCTACAGGGTTCAAGCTGGTGCAACACAAGAAGTGTCAACATAAGAACATGGCTTGGGAGCTCAACGATGTCGGTTATGGCGGCTGACTAGGGCCGGAATTGCAGCCAGCTGCACGAGCTGTTGTACTATTCTTTCTGCATTGCAGGCAAGCCGAAATACACAAGGAACTGTGAACAACAGCCTAACTTGACACTCCAGCACAGCACAAGAATGAGACTGGACACAAGCCTCACAGCCCCGAAAGACCAGAAGCTCTGAAGTCTACCTATCCCCGAGTGCCACCTCCGAGCACATCGAGCACGAGACCCAAAGAGTGACTACTCTTCCCTTCTTCTCCACCCACCGAGTTGGGCCATGAGGAGCTCACCATAACCCGTCCCTCTCTGATAGCCTTTTCACCATGGCAAGAAGCCAAAAAGCAGCAAGCATGGTCAAGAGGCGGCTACCAAGTACGTAGTTTGTGCCGCTTGTTATTCCCTTTGAGGTTTGAAGTCCAGCATACCCGGAATCTTCCCAGCAAGCTCCAACGCCGCCTCCTGCAACGCGATCAAGTCCGGGCTCGCCTCAATAAGCTCCTCCACGACAAGGTCCGACCGGGCTTCCCATTCCTGAGATTCGTACGACTCCTTGCTTTGCAACCATGAAATCTTTTTTTGAAATCCAATTCTTCAAACCGGAATCACAATCCTAAGAACCTGTACCGGTACCAAGTGGAGGATTCCTGGGTTCCCTTGTTGTGACATGCAGGCACGGATCCATGGCGGCTGGAGGAACATGAAGGTAATGCCCGGAGCCATCCGCAAAGCACGGTGCCAAAACATTCCTTGTGCGGCGCGATGAAACGCGTTATGCATACGGGACTTGGACTTGCTGTGCGGCACAGTTCTCCTACATATAGCGGCATCTTTTCTCCCAGCGTCCAGGACAAAATCGAAAAGTCCTCGACGCGAGATGTTCCGATTTTGATTCCGTAGAAGGTCGGGGCGCTAGACATCGTGGGGCACACTCCTCACAGTAGGCTTCCTAAAGGCTTCCCCACGTTGACATGCTTTCACACAATACAGCCAGTGTAGCTGACATGGTCAACTCACCGTGCATGCCACAATACACATAGCTCCATCGTCCACATGCACCAATGGTTCCCAATGCACGTGCCCGGATGACAGCCGGCGTGCCAAAAAAATCTCACACGTTTGGCGAGGACCCGGTTGCCCCAAGCATGCAGCCCCTGTCCAAACCGCAACACGTTATTTTGCAACAATGACACCTAGACAAACTCGTTCTAAAAATGTTTTGTCAGCATGTTGGCCCTCCCTCTCCTGGCTGCTGTCGTCAAGGAAACGACCATTTCGCCGAAGCCGGGATGTCATGGAGATATGGCTACAGCTGTCTTGCACGTCGGTTGCGAGGGGTTGCCTGAGGTTCGGGCTGGCCAATGGACCCTGGGATTCGAGGCTCATGCTGACGGCTGCCCCAACGTTCCGAAACACCGGCAGCTCAACAAGAAATCGCAGTGCATCATCTTCATGCTGTTGACTGTCATCAACCATGCTGGAAAGTGTGAATGGCTTTGAGTGCGAAGGCTGCTCTTCGGAACGAATACAGAGCCCCATCATGGCGATGTGAAATGTCAATACCAAACAATTGGCACGGCACAGCTCAACACTCGAACAGTGCAGAGCAACTGCTACGGATACGTGGACGATAAGGCAGCCCTATCAGTCTAGTTGCATTGCCTAGAACGCAATCTTGCTATGACCACACGTTTGCGAGTGACACAGGCCCGTTGTCTGCTGGCAACGGCTCATGGTGTCCCTCGTCTTGCAAAACAATCATGCTGTTGTCCTCCATTGTTCTTGCGCATATGTGCTGCAGAAACGGACTTGGTTTCATTGTCAGAAGCACCGTGCCTACCTCCTACACTACGCGTACGTCTGTCCGCGGGCCAGGACGCGGCTCGGCTGTGACCCGGTTACCCATGGGGCGTTCGCGAGGAGCTCGGGCCAAGCCGGCGCCGGTCCGGCAGCACAAAGCTCCGCATCTCGGGGGACGTGATTGCAAGGGCTCAGCAGCAATAATGAAATAGTGATGAAGCCACTCCACCGGAGCACCCACACGGCCTGTGCGGCGGGGCGAAGTGTTGCAGGCGTGGTGCAGGCGCGGGCACACACAACGAGGCGAAGGAAGGAACAGCTTTCGCGTCCCAAAAGCCACAAACCTCTAGCCCAAACATGACCCACCTTTTTTTTGTTCGGACCTTTTCCCGGCTGCCAAAGGTGCATGAGCTCGCAAGGCTAGGGTTACAGCGAGCTACCGGCAACCTACGGCTACCGCGCAAGCACGTCGCCGGTAGGCAGGGCGTAGTTCACGCGGTGGGAGGACGGGTGGACTAGCACGGAGCCGGAGGTCGGCTCCCAGGCACTGGCTCGGTGTCACGAGCATCCGCGAGCAGGTTGCCGAGAGGTGGTTCCGTGCCGTCGCATTCGTCCGCTGCCGCCACGAGCAACTCAAGCAGAGAGTAAGCTAGCGTGCGTTGCGCTGCCACAGCCAGCATGCCCGTACAACGGTGTAAGGAGGCACGCTGCACGGCCAGGCGCTGCCGCGCGTGGGATTCGCGCGCACGAGCCTTAGCCAACTGCCGCAAGAATCCGCCAACTTCCAGGGCAAGCACAACCAGTTTGCAACGACGCGCGACCGCAAGCTCCGGGCTCCGGGTATGCGCGGAAGAGTTTGCGTTCCGCCGCCTGTTCAAGGGCTGTGCGAGACAAGGGTGGTGTCGACGGCCGCCTGGGCACCTTGCCACAGGGGCAGTCCATTTGCTAATACCTCGATGCGGCGGCCACCATCGAGGGGTACGTCGACATTCATGTCCCGTAAGAAGACGTTGGTTGCAACGCGCACGCCAGCTTCGCGGAAGACTCGCGCCGCGACCCTTTCCAACGCTGCCCCGCGCATTCTAAGAACCCGAGGCATCGAGTGCACCTCCACACCGGCACTGCCTGTGGCACGGGCAGCCGCAAGCGTCTGAGCAACACGACTCGGAAGCACGAGCGAGAATCGGAACTCCGGAGCCGTGGGAAGTGCGGTTAGGGCACGGGAGCCGCTAGGGCCTGCCTGGGACAGCATCAACGCTCGCGAAGCCGGGTCAACGCCAGAACAAAAACTCGCGCAAGCGGCGGCGTCCAAGCAGGCCGCGGCGGCTCGCTGCCATCCTCGCCGCGGCTCTTCAAGAAGCGCTCAACAAGCAGGAGGCGGGCGCCCGCCATCGGCAAGTTCATCCCACATCAGCAACGCGAACCCGGCTTCCTGCAGCTCTGCCGCTGCTTTTGCTAGTTCAGCCAAGTTGGGGGTTGCTTCGTTAGTGCCTCCATCCTGACTGAACAGCTGCACGCGGCGGACAGCTTCCGCCACAACACTTGGTGCAGGATTGGCAAAGTACCTGCCCAAGATGCCCAGTGCCGCACCTCGGCCTTCCAGGGCACTGCGTAGTCCGAAGCCTCCGAGCTCTAAGGGCAGTGCAGCCCGTCTGCGGCCGAGGTCGTTAATGCGTACTGAGTTATCATTGGCGAGGAGGTCGGCCAAGCAACGTGCAATTCCGTCGTCGTGTGGGCGTGCAAACTCCTCCGTGACGGACGGCGCAAGGGACCGGAGGAGGTAGTTGCTCCGTGCAGCGGCACACATGAGTAGTTGTAGCCACACGATTATAAAGGTCAGGCAGGCTTAGGATTCTATCCAGCAAGCGACCATGGTTCAATCCCTTAGTCCTGGAACTTCCTTTTTGAAGGCTTCGCTCCCAAATGGGGTACCGAGGACGAGGAAGCCTTGTTGTTGAGGCGGCAAGGAGTGGTCACCCACCCACACGGGAACCTCCCCCGGCGCCCTAGGGAGCACTTCAGTAAGGCCTGGCGGCTGCTCGCCTGTGGAGTTCCAAACGCGCGTCTTGCCGAGGTGCACATCGA